TAGTATTTCCGTAAAATGAAAATAATAATTGTAGTCATAGTAAAAGACAAATCCTGAAAATTTGTTACATTCAAATTTTGCCTTAATACGTAACTGGAGATTTCGAATAATTTCACTAATTAATTCAGGTATTTGTGAGGGTATTTATGAAGCCTTATGCCTGAGGTTAGGGATGTAAAATAACGGTCATTTATTTTTTGTGAGACATCATTTTCTGTCATTTATTGTCATTTATGGTCATTTATTTTTAATGTAGAACATAACCTTTGAACATAACAACTCAAATAAATAATCGGATATCTGATTGGTTGACTAAAGCTCTTCTTCAGTTTCACAGTCATCAGCATCAAAGTCATTTAATGAGTTAGAGAGTATAGCTTCCATCTTCTCCATTAGTCTGACAGTATAAATCGAAAGGCAGCTGATATTTTTGTGACACTTTCATATATTTTAATGACGACAATGATGGTCATATATTTTAGTTACGGCCATTTAATAATTTGACATGAAGAATGAAAAAAAGGTTTGTATTTCGTGCAAAATTCTTTAATAAATATCAGTGCAAAGCGCTTTCGGCCGTGGCCATCATCAGTGCAACCTGAAAGTAAGGAAAAACACAGGTCACACCACTTAGCTATGTTGTTTTTCACTATAAATATCTTAAATCTTTAAATATTGTTTAAAAAACGTTGGTAATGGTTTTGGATTTTATAAATTTTTATTTTTTCGAACTTCCCGCTCTTGTCAGCTACGTTGACTTACTTGTCATGTGTCACTCTAAGAGGAAACCACAATTAAAAACGTGTAACCATACACAAAATGGTTGCACATCAACATGTTGGCCTTCCACAAAATTTAAGGAAATTTTAATTTAAACTTAAAAAAACATCTTTCGATGTGATTTTTAATTTTGAAAGACGCAGCCTTTGCATGGAGTACCAGTAAAAACCAAAGATCTTCCGATATTTTAAAGTGTTAATTTTTAATTTGTAATGTGATGTTTTCGTTCCTTTACACCTATATGTTCAACGAGAAGACTCTTTGTACAAACCTGACGAAGTGAGTAAATCTACTTTCTTTGGTAATTATTTTCTTTCTTTTTGAATATTTTAAATCAATTATTTAGATTAAATTTTCCAAAAATTTTCAGGAAATTTTCAAAAAAAAAATCAAATTTTCCAGAAAGTGTTTTTCCTTACTTTCAGGTTGCACTGATGATGGCCACGGCTGAAAGCGCTTTGCACTGATATTTATTAAAGAATTTTGCACGAAATATAAACCTTTTTTCATTCTTCATTACTCCTCAACATGCACACAGCTCTACACCCTTTATTACTCTACCAATAATTTGACAGTCAGATTATTCGATCGATAAAAAAGTAAATGACAGGAGTTTCATAAAAATAAATGACATGACCGTCATTTTCATTTTGAAACCGAAATTTACCCTATTCAAGAAGGGAAGTCAAAGGAAATTGATGGGGCCTGTTATCAGGGCTGTGAGGCTGTCATGAGACAGTATGGAAATGGTTATTTAGACAAGGGATGCGCATCTACGCGTAAACAAAGATTATCTACGTCTGGTGTAAACAACGCGTAGACAATGTACACTATGTAGACAACGTGTAAAATATGTAGACAACGCGTAAAGTATACAATTTTTGACAGTTGGCAGGCCTTTAAGGTTATGTTTCTGTTTTTGCTTTGTAAAGTTAATTAAACTGCAGATAATATGCCTAATTTGATACAATATAAATTTAATGCAATGCAAGCTTTTAAAAAAGTTACTCAAATTTCTAGTTTTCTGTTGTCTACATTGTCTACATAGTTGCTCTACCTATACATTTCACTTGGACACGCAGGATCTACCCTTGATGTGAAAACATTTATTTATTTCAACTCGACCGTCCAGTGTTGTGCTTTGATTTGTATTGTTTTTTTTACTTGGAATTTGAAAAAATTTAAGATGTCTCGATCTCCACAACTTCCATCCTCTGAGGTCTAATTGCTTCCTATTGGACTCTGGAATGCAATTGCAAATCTAAATATACCCTCCTCCCCATAACATATTATTATTAAGTAGATTTATAATCATTGTTTTTATATTTGATTCTTATTTTACCCCTACTGACCTCAACCGAACTAAGGTATCTAAAGTTGTTTTTGAAGGGTAGGTACATCGGGTAGGTACATTTTTATTGGAATTTTGGAGATCAGGGACTTTCCGGTTTAAGTCCGCGGATTTTATTTTGTAAACCAGTGGCGACCTATAAAGCTAACTTCCAATTAGACTACCCAAGATGCTGTCAAACTTAAATTAAAATGTCCGCCAAGAGGCACACAAACCCTTTGTTTATGTGTCATCCAATTTGTCATCAAATAATGTTATGAGTTTTTGAGTTTAAAATAGTGCTCATTGTGAATTATTTGCATTCTGATACTTAAAACTGTTGTTTTTATTAATTTTAGAAATAGTGTATTTAAATACTGTATGTAAATCGTAGTAAATAGTTCTTGAAAAGCGAAAAGCATGCCTACAACGTGTTGTATTATTAAATGTGGAAGTCGTGGAGATCACAGATTAACCAGATCGAGACATTGCTAAGTTTTTTCAAATTCCAAATAAAAAAAACAATACAAATCAAGGGACAACACTTGACGGTTAAGTTAAAACAAATAAATATTTTCACATTAAGGGTAGGTCCTGCGTGTCCAAGTGGAATGAAGGTAGAGCAACCTTGCCCAAACAATAAGAATTCCGTAATTGGGTAGAAACTAGCAAAAATTGAGACGCACACAATAGAAAATGAGTATTGAATTATGATCAGAGGTACCTACAACATATCAAAAATTCAAGCAATTTCACCGAATCCACCTTGACATAACATAGTGACGTTGGGGTTTGTATTTGTGTCAATGTTTGTGTGCCTCTTGCCGACCATATTTTGCTTGTCAAAGTCACGTGTTTTGGATAGTCTAATATTGAACCTACTCCCACACCACTGAGTAGCTGCGAGCACTTTATTGCGCTGGCCGCATTCCTTAAGGATGTCTTACTGTACCTAGGCCTATTAAGGTTTATTTATTCAAATTCATTATTCAAACAGTTTAAAGGTAAAAGTTACCCAGATCCTCAAAATTTCAATTATATTGGATGACGCGTTCCGAAGTTATCACCTGGGAGAAACGTCGTGAAGAAATTTCTTCAAAAATGTTCAAATTTGACATTTTCGTACACATCATGATCCGCAGATACCAAAAATGCGAAAAAATTATTGGGATGCCATTCAAAATTACGGAGTTAGGACCATTTCCGGTCAAACCGGAAGTTACTAAACATTGACACACATGTCAAAAGATGACATTGCTCAAACCTACACTCCATACCAAAAATCTTTGCCATCGAAAAAAAAAACCAGCAAATGCCAGCGCGAAACTGATCTCGTAGACACCCGGTATATATGAAAATAAACCACATAGAAAAAATAAGTATAGACATAATATATGATAAATATATTTATTAATATATTTTTTATACAAAAAAATATGTATACAGGCACCATTATTATTAATTAGTCTATTACCTATGTACAAAATTGTATTTGAGCACAATACATAAAAATATAAAAAAAAGTCTCAAAATAACTTGATTGCAATAAATAAATTAAAAATAAATAAATAAATAATAAAAATATTTATACAAATGAAAGTCAACAAAGATATTACCTATATAATTAGTCACTGTTTTTGTTTTGCTAAATTTACAAAAAAAATAAAATTAAATTATAAAAAACTATAAAATACATATAGCTAAATATAATATTTTTAAACTTAATTAAATAAATTAAAATTATATTTACAATATTTTTAAATAAAAAAGTCTATTTACAATATGAACAGTAAGTATCCAAAAATAAAAGAAAAAGAGAAAATAATAAGTTAAATATTTTATCACATATGCAGAGTTTAATATTATATGAGACAAAGTTTGCTTGAGATGATAAGGCCAAATCGAGAATTTCTAGTGAGCTGGTAGAAGGATCGCGGATATCGTCTTTAAAATGGTACTTAAATGTGGTACCTCTCAGACAGTATGCAATAGTTCCTTGATTTTGAAGCAGTTTATTGTACCATTGTATAAATAAAAGAATCTAATAAGTTATCTTAAAAAGCCCTGATTTTTTATGTAGAAATTTTTCTTTTCTATTAGTTAAATTAAAATTGTAGAATTTGATTAATCCAGTCCTTGAACTCGCTTATTCTTGTGTAGACGCCTGGTTGATTGGGCTCGGCGCATCCGATACCCCAGGATATAATACCGGCTAGTAGGAATCTGTAAAATATAATATTGTAAATTTTAGTTGTATGTTTAATGCATTAAAAAAATCTTCTGAGTGAGATTAATATTTAATGCTGGTCGAAAGATGAGCAGCATCAACAGCTAGGGAATTTCCAGATGGCACAAATATCTTGTTTCCAAGAGAAACTCTCAAAGAATCTGTAAGAAGAGTAACCGATAATAATTATGCCTTATGACGTGCTAATTCCTTAGATCATAATAAATTGAGTTCAACTAAATAGTGTGGCTCTCTATTAGAGAGATACATAACATAGCTTAGTTGCTAGAATCATTGGAATTTTGTTAAATTAGGCCAATCAAGAAATATAGACATAATTTGACAAAAGTCTGCACGCTGCAAAAATAACACTCGAGACGATATAGAATACAAATGAGAACATGGATTCATTGCCCGATAGTATCAAATAACTACTCTTATAAGGTGGGTTCGGCTTGCTCACTCCGAGTGACCCCATTCGCACTCCAGCCGTTCGGTTTAAGGTTCGGGTATTGTTTTTTACCGTATTAGAGTTAACTCCATTAGCTCTGTTCACTCCACTCCAACTCCGTGCTGAATAGCCAAACCCAGCTATAATAGACAAACGTCTCAGATACCTGTAAGGAAGTAATGACAATTATGTCATAACATCTCCAGAAATATTTTAGAGCCAAAAAATTTTACAAAATTCTAGTGTTAATCATTGTTGAATTACAGAAATGAGAGAAATATTGCATTTACAAGTTGGACAAGCGGGCAATAATATTGGCAATAAATTTTGGGAAGTAATTTCCGACGAGCATGGAATAGATCCTACAGGACACTGGCATGGAGACTCAGATTTACAACTAGAAAGAATCAATGTGTATTACAATGAAGCTACAGGTGGAAGATTTGTTCCTAGAGCCGTGCTTGTAGATCTAGAGGCGAGTTCTATGGATACTGTAAGAAGTGGACCGTTTGGAAGAATTTTTAGTCCAGACAATTTTGTGTTTGGTCAAGGCGGTGCAGGGAATAATTGGGCTAAGGGAATGTACACGGAAGGAGCTGAACTGGCAGATGCCGTTTTGGATAATGTTAGAAAAGAGGCTGAAGGGTGTGATTTGCTTCAGGTAGAATTTAATTGTAAAAAGTGCTTTTTATAATATATGTTTGTTCTTTTCGAGGGGTTCCAAATAGTCCATTCCATTGGTGGAGGCACTGGGGGAGGTTTAGGCTGTTTATTATTGGACAAAATAAGAGAAGAATATCCCGATCGTATAATTAGTACTTTTACTGTCATACCAAGCCCTAAAGTATCAGACACTGTAGTCGAGCCATACAATGCTACGCTCTCGATCACTCATTTATTGGAAAATTCTGACCAAACCTATATTATAGATAACGAAGCACTTCACGACATATGTTTCCGAACTTTACACCTTACAACTCCTAGTTTGGCTGACTTGAACCATCTTATTTCAGCAGTCATGGCTGGTGTTACCACTTGCATCAGATTTCCGGGACAACATAATACCGATTTACGGAAAATTCAAGTCAACATGGTTCCTTTCCCGAGACTGCACTTCTTCATACCTGGATTTGCTCCGTTAGTGTCAAGAGGTAAGAGACCTTATAAAGCTTCAACAGTTCCTGACCTAGTACAACAGCTATTCGATGCCAAAAACCTTATGTGCGCCTGCGACCCTAGACACGGAAAATATTTAACTGTTACTGCAATATTCCGGGGACGTATGTCCACAAGAGAAGTGGAAGAACAAATGATGAATGTGCAAGACAAGAATAGTAGCCATTTTGTGGAATGGATTCCGAATAACATGAAGACAGCTATTTGTGATATACCCCCTAGAGGGCTCAGGATGTGTGCTACATTTATTGGAAATAACACCGCGGTGCAAGAACTCTTCAAAAGAATAAACGAAGCATACTCTGCAATGTTTAGAAGGAAGGCATTTCTTCATTGGTACACTGGGGAAGGTATGACAGAACAGGAATTTACTGAGGCAGAATCTAATATGAGCGATTTGATTTCTGAGTATCAGCAATATGAAGCGGCGCCTGGAGAAGAAGATGATGAGGAATATAGTGGTAGTGGTGACGATGACGAAGAGGATGATTGAAAATTTATTTGAATCTGTGTTCTGGAACTAATAAATATTGAAATTATAATATAATGATTATCGGTATTTTGACCACATTTCTATAGTTTCTTCTTAGTATACCGTATACCCAGTGTTGCCAACTGCGGATCAACTATTATAGTATAGAGCGCTATAAAATTATAGTACATTTGTACAAATTATAGTATCTTGCTGGAGACAGATGAACACCAATTGTCCTGGTAGGACACACAGAGATCGAACTATTATAAAATTTTCTGGACAAAACGAGAAAAGTCAAGGGCGTATCATACTAAAATTTCAAATTTGTCCAGTAAAAAATAACCCTACTGGAAATTAATGAAAATCAACTAAATTAGGCATAAATGCACCATCTAACATTTTTTTTTTCTGGAAAACTGTCCAGGGGAAAATTATGACATTTTCTGGAAAAAAATAGGAAAGTCAGGGACGTATCATAGTTAAATTTCAAATTTTTCAAATGGAAAATAACCGTATTGGAAATTAATGAAAATCAATTAAATTAGGCATAAATGCACCATCTAACATTTTACTTTTTTTTTTCTGGAAAACTATTCAAGGGAAAATTATGACATTTTCTGGAAAAAAAGAAGAAAGTCAGGGGCGTATCATAGTAGAATTTAAAATTTTTCTAGTAGAAAATAATCTTATTGGAAATTAATGAAAATCAACTTAATTAGGCATAAATGCACCATCTAACATTTTATTTTTTTTCTGGTAAACTATTCAAGAGAAAATTATGACATTTTCTGGAAAAAAAAGAAGAAAGTCAGGAGCGTATCATAGTAAAATTTCAAATTTTTCCAGTGGAAAATAACCTCATTGGAATTTAATGCATATCAACTAAATTAGGCATAAATGCACCATCTAACATTTTTTTTTTTTTTTTCTAGAAAACTATTCAAGGGAAAATTATGACATTTTCTGGAAAAAAAGAAGAAAGTTAGGGGCGTATCATAGTAGAATTTAAAATTTTTCTAGTGGAAAATAACCTCATTGGAAATTAATGCATATCAACTAAATTAGGCATAAATGCACCATCTAACATTTTACTTTTTTTTTTCTGGAAAACTATTCAAGGGAAAATTGTGAAATTTTCTGGAAAAAAAGAAGAAAGTCAGGGGCGTATCATAGTAGAATTTAAAATTTTTCTAGTGGAAAATAACCTCATTGGAAATTAATGCATATCAACTAAATTAGGCATAAATGCACCATCTAATATTTTACTTTTTTTTTCTGGAAAATTATTCAAGGGAAAATTATGACATTATCTGGAAAAAAAGAAGAAAGTCAATGGCGTATCATACTAAAATTTCAAATTTTTCCAGTGAAAAATTACCCCATTGGAAATTAATGAAAATCAACTAAATAAGATATAAATGCACCATTTAACATTTAATTTTTTTCCTGGAAAACTGTCCAGGGGAAAATTATGACATTTTCTGGAAAAAAAGAAGAAAGTCAGGGGCGTATCATACTAAAATTTCAAATTTTTCCAGTAGAAAATAACCTCATTGGAAATTAATGAATGTGAACTGAATTAGGCATAAATGCATCATCTAACATTTTATTTTTTTTCTGGAAAACTATTCAAGGGAAGATTATGACATTTTCTGGAAAAAAAGAAGAAAGTCAGGGGCGTATCATAGTAAAATTTCAAATTTTTCCAGTGGAAAATAATCTTATTGGAAATTAATGAATATCAACTAAATTAGGCATAAATGCACCATCTAACATTTTATTTTTTTTCTGGAAAACTATTCAAGGGAAAATTATGACATTTTCTGGAAAAAAAGAGGAAAGTCAGGGGCGTATCATAGTAGAATTTAAAATTTTTCTAGTGGAAAATAACCTCATTGGAAATTAATGCATATCAACTAAATTAGGCATAAATGCACCATCTAATATTTTACTTTTTTTTTCTGGAAAATTATTCAAGGGAAAATTATGACATTTTCTGGAAAAAAAGAGGAAAGTCAGGGGCGTATCATAGTAGAATTTAAAATTTTTCTAGTGGAAAATAACCTCATTGGAAATTAATGCATATCAACTAAATTAGGCATAAATGCACCATCTAATATTTTACTTTTTTTTTCTGGAAAATTATTCAAGGGAAAATTATGACATTTTCTGGAAAAAAAGAGGAAAGTCAGGGGCGTATCATAGTAGAATTTAAAATTTTTCTAGTGGAAAATAACCTCATTGGAAATTAATGCATATCAACTAAATTAGGCATAAATGAACCATCTAACATTTTACTTTTTTTTTTCTGGAAAACTATTTAAGGGAAAATTATGAAATTTTCTGGAAAAACAGAAGAAAGTCAGGGGCGTATCATAGTAAAATTTAAAATTTTCCCAGTGAAAAATAACCTCATTGGAAATTATTGCATATCAACTAAATTAGGCATAAATGTACCATCTAACATTTTATTTTTTTTCTGGAAAACTATTCAAGGGAAAATTATGACATTTTCTGGAAAAAAAAGGAAAGTCAGGGGCGTATCATAGTTAAATTTCAATTTTTTCCAGTGAAAAAGAACCCCATTGGAAATTAATGAACATTTATTGAATTAGACATAAATTTCTGGAGAAAAAGAGAAAAGTCAGGGGCGCATCACACTAAAATTTCAAATTTTTCCCGTGAAAAACAACAAAATTAAAAATAATTTTAAAAATTAAATAGGGGTGCGTTCGTTAACATCTTTTTTGGTATAAAGAAAGGACCCGCTCAGGAAAATCAATGAAATTGACAATTGACAGTGTAAACCCAGTCACCAAAATAACACTAAACTAACACTTTTGACAGTTGACATTTAAAATGTCAACTGTCAAAAAATACATGCTGCCTATTCAGCTGAAAAAAAGGTGACTAGACATAAGAAACCAATAGGATTAGGATTTGTTGTTAATAGAAAAAAGAAATAAGGGCTTGCAGCCAACAAATTAGGATTTTGCTTTGATAGTACATAGTACATATCCATTTAATTATAGTACAAATACTATAATTATAGTACGGTTGGCAACACTGCGTATACTGCGCTTTCTGTTTGGCTCCTACTTATTAATTTTTTCAGGTATTTCTACATTCCTGTAAATTTCAATATTTGATGAAATCCAATATCTGTAAGGACCTATATTGTAAATTTGACGTCCAAATATGTAAATTTGGAAATGTGTACCGATCCAACTCCGACGATCAGCAACTCTGAAATCCTAAGACTTGAATTATTTCTCAAAATCCACATGACTATAATATTCGAACCAGACATGTGACGTCCTTTGGCAATACTCCTGAATTCAGGCTTTTTTAGTTTCTGAACAACTCACTCGCAAACTTCAAGCTAAGAAATCTTTCATCAATTCCTTGCATCATACAAGCAAATTCAATGTTTTCCGAAATTGGGCTTCTCTACAAAACAACAATAAACTCATTCATTTAAATTACCATTGAAAATAAAAAACAATGCCTGGCAAATTAAATTCCTATAAAAGTAAACTAGGTCTTAGATCATAAATGTAGGACTTTTTAGGAGAAAGTAGATGTGCATGTCAAACCAAATTAATTAAAATGAAACATGAAACACAAGCTGTTAAGGTGCTTAGTAGGTGATTCTCATGATTAGTTCACACATGGCTTTTTGATTTGGTATAGTTTTAACCAATATTTGAATAATGGACAATAATATATACTTCTGATCAAATAATTACCTTTTGTCTTCTCTCTGAATAACCATGGGTCCTCCCGAATCGCCTTCGCATGAATCGAACCCGCCTCGCCTCCAACCGGCGCAGATAAAAATGTGTGGAATATGTTCAATATAACCGGCGGATCTGTACATTGATTCGCAAACGGAATTATTGATCACTGGCACAGATACCTCTTGAAGGATGCTGGGGAGAGGTCCATCTGCAATTGAGATATTTTATTATACTTGAGTATTATTATCATGGGCGGTTGCTTATTCTGAAAAGAGGCAGGAAGATTTTGTAATATTGCTAAGAGTAAAGTAAGTATGGGATCTTTTTGAGTGTATGACTCTATTGTAGTGCACAGTCCAAGCTACACGCTTGGGACTGTCACGAGGATTCGGATCTTTGTGTAAATAAAACACCCGCGATCACAACAAAATGTTAATTTGTCCCGCAGGAATTCAGCTGCACGCTACGGCCCAGTTTATTCATCTTTAGATAAACTTGCTGGTAACAATCTGCAGGAGAAATTCACCGTTCTTTAATTCTATTGGTCGGCGAATAATTGGCAGAACAATTCTAGCCGGACTTTCACCTGTTGAATCGTGAACAGCCGCTCTGTAAGCCATTAAAAAGAGAGGCAAATGCTTGTCCCAATCTCGTTGGTTCTTTGCGACCACTTTTGTCAGGTGTTCCTCTATGGTCTTATTGAATCGTTCTACCATGCCATCAGACTGAGGGTGTAAAGGTGTTGTCCTTGTCTTACGAATGCCCATGATCTCACAAACTTTCTTAAAGATGGCAGATTCGAAGTTTCGTCCTTGGTCTGAATGTAACTCTAGTGGCACACCATGACGACTAAAAACTTCGTCCACTAGCACCTGGGCAACAGTGATGGCTTCTTGATTGGGAATAGCGAAAACTTCTGGCCATTTACTGAAGTAATCCATGATAACTAAGATGTATTTGTTACCACGCTCTGACTCTGGGAACGGTCCTGCTACATCTATCGCTATTCTCTCAAATGGAAGACCAACGTTATACTGTTTCATGGGCCCCCGAGATCTTAGTTTAGGGCCTTTACTGGTAGCACAGATGTCGCATTTTCGGCACCAGCTTTTAACGTCTTCATGGTAGTGAACCCAGTAAAAACGTTCCCGAATTTTGTCCAAAGTCTTGTTAACTCCGAAATGTGCCCCTGAGGTTCCGTCGTGTATTTCTTTTAATACATCTTCCACTCGGTCTTTTGGGATAACCAGTTGGCTCTTAGTGGATTTCCCATCGGCACTTTCCCAAACTCTTTTGAGTAAACCATTTTCTACAGCCAGAGAGTTCCATTGGGCCCACAACGCTTTGTAAATCAAGCTCTTGTTTGACACTTCCCTCCATTCTGGCCTACATTCATCGTTTTCTTTAAGATGTAGAATTTGCCCGATGTCCTGGTCTGCCTCCTGATCTTCTCTCATTTGCTTGGTAGTCCATTTATCATCGACGATCAGGCCCGTTCTTCTTACAGCTGGACTAGTGTTTTTCTCATGTATATCGATTCTTTGACAATGTTTGCAATCTTCTTTACATGGCCGTCTAGACAGAGCGTCAGCATTTTTATGTAGGTTTCCAGGTCGATGTTTAATTTGGAAATCGTATTGCTGCAATTTCTCAATCCATCTAGCAAGATGTCCTTCAGGAGTTTTCATTTCTAAAAGCCATTTTAGAGCTGCGTGATCTGTTCGAATTAGAAACTTGCGTCCATAGAGATACTTATGAAAATGGTCGACTGCTTTTACTATGGCAAGCAACTCTCTTCTGGTGACACAATAATTTCGTTCCGGCTTTGATAATGTTCTGCTGTAGTACTCCACGACATGTTCTTGTGAGTTTTGGATTTGTGAAAGGACAGCTCCAACACTGGTGTTACTTGCATCTGTGTCCAAAATCAACATGCCTTTGTAATCAGGATAGGACAACACTGGGCTCGTACATAATGCTCCTTTCAATTTTCTAAATGCGGAATCGCATTCTTGGGTCCAATTGAATGTTGATTTTTCTTCTGTCAATCGATGAAGTGGAGCAGCTATTTTGGCGAATCCTTCCACAAATCTTCGATAATAAGAACATAATCCTAGAAAACTCCTTAGTTCATGTTTGTCGCGTGGTTTTGGCCAGTCCCTGACAGCATCTATTTTTCCTTCCATAACTTGTATGCCCTCTTCAGATACCACGTGACCTAAGAATTCCACTTTCTTTTGAAATAGGAAACACTTATTTGGATTGAGTTTCAAGTTGGCATTCCGGAAGCGGTCAAAAACTTCTTTTAGGTTATTGAGATGTTCTTGGAACGAATTTCCCATAATCATGACATCATCCAAATATACCAGGCAAGTTCTCCATGTAAGGCCTCGCAAAACAAGATGCATCAGTCGCTCAAACGTAGCTGGAGCATTACACAATCCGAAAGGCATTACATTAAACTGGTATAGTCCGCTACCGGTACTGAAGGCAGTTTTCTCTTTGTCATCGTCATGTATTGCCACTTGCCAGTATCCACTTTTGAGATCCAAGGTGGAAAACCATTTGGAGCCCGATAGAGTTGTTAGTGTATCGTCTATTCTTGGGAGAGGGAAGCTGTCCTTCTTGGTGACGTCATTAAGCTTTCGGTAGTCCACACAAAATCTAAGACTCCCATCTTTCTTCGTAACCAATACTACTGGCGCGGACCATGGACTATTTGACTCTTCAATGATTCCCTTTTGAAGCATTTTATCAATTTGGTTTTCCACTTCCTGTTGCTTCGCTACTGGCATACGTCGTGGTGGTTGTCTAATTGGGTGTGCCAATCCAGTATCAATTTTGTGTTGAATTAAGCTGGTTCGGCCGGTTTGATTGTCCATCACAAATACGTCTGCTTCTTTCAAAATGAAATCTGTGGCTTCTTGAAGTCTATCTGGATCGAGATGTTTCCATGATTTCGCCAAGGTCTGCATCAAGGTGTCTGTATCTAATTTGGATTTCACAAAATGTCGCTTATCTGGTAGGTCACAGTTCGATATTTGCTTCACTGGTTCGAGAGCTCCAATAATGTCTCCTTCTTTTATTCTTACTGTTTCGGAAGAAACATTGGCAAATCTTATCATAATGTCTCCATTTGTTCTTACTAGGGTCTTTCCAACAAGAAATCTTTCTGGTTTATCTCCAATGAAATTACGTGTTAGCCCAACGCAACACCCAGGGTTTGTTTCTAATTTTCCGCAAATGATCTTCTCAGTACTTCCAGGAATCCTCACTGGGGTTGTGGCCAGGATCTTAACGGCATCGGATTCTTCTTGTGTTGTAAGGACAATTTCTTCATTACCAAATTTAAGGATGTTCATGGAAGGATCAAAAGAGAAACCATGTTGGCCGATCAAATCCATTCCCAAAATAAAATCATCTTCTATATCGGCGACTAATGTTTTGTGCCTGAAGGTGGTAGATCCAAAAGTGAGCTCAACCATAGCTTCTCCTTGAACTGCTGCAGATTCGCCGGTGACTGTTCGTAGTGACAGGTTTCTAGTGAGCGGTTGGATTGCCCGAGACTTGACTAATGTTCTTTTAATTATGGAAACTTCAGCACCCGTATCAAAAGTAATGGTTTTCAATTCTCCATTAATTTGTCCTTCGAACTTTAATCCTCTATAATGACTGCCCAATGATTTTATGTAAACAACTCTGGGGGTTTCGTCATTACTAGCCAGCATCCTCCCTTTCGTGCTAGTTGGTTCCTGTTTATTATTAGGGCTGGCGTCTCTAGACCTTGAAAAGCGTTGAGAATGATCCCTAGATGGAAAGGACATCCTTAGTCTACAATCCCATTGCATGTGTCCAAGCTTTTGGCACCGGTAGCATTTTACTCGGTTTCTTGGTGTTGGTGTTTGTCTGGAATCGTTACCCATTTTTCTATCTTCTAGTAACAGTTTCTCCATTCTCTCCATGAAATTACTCATTGGGGTTTCAAAGCTATCATCCTCTTTTGCCAATTATTTATCTTTTGGGTCTTCAATGGACACTGCTCGTACTCTGGGTCGTGAGGCACCAAAGATTGTTTCCAGTTCTAATGCTCGGACAAGGGCTTCGCTACTTTTCCTGAACTTGGACATTCTTAGGTTTTCCTGGATCTTGGAATCCCGGAGACCATCAATAAACGTAGATACTGCCATCCATTCTTGTATGTCTTCCCTAGCTGCAGGAAACGCCAAACTCACTAGTCTTTTAACTTCCGATTCGAATTCTTGTAGACTCTCGCCGGGTTTTTGAACTCTTGATTTAACTTGAGTTCTGAATACTTCTTGTCTGTAATGGTCTCCGAAGCGCAGTTCTAAAGTTTGACTTAGATGCTGGTAATTCTGTTGGTAGATTGAAGGAATGGACTGAAGAAGATCTAAGGCTGGTCCTCGTAGCGCCACTATCAGTGCTGTAGCTTTTTCTTGATCGTTCCATCCGTTGGTATTTGCAGCAGCTTCAAATTGTCGAATATACATGGTCCAGGACGTAGAGCCGTCGAAAGTTGGTGGTTTTATCTTCATACTGGAGAATGCTCCAACACTAGCTGAATTGATGGACTGTATTTCTAATCTACGCATCTTTTCTTCGAGTGCTTGAACTTGGTCCTCAACTTCTTGTCTTAATTGCTGAACATCGGTTTTGACTTCAGCTTTTACTTCTTGAACGTCGTGTTTAACTTCTTGCACATCGTCTTTAACTTGTTCAATCTTCTGGTCTAGGTTAGCGACAGTTCCTTGTATGGTTTGGAATATTTTCTGTAGTCTTCCAAGGTCCTCCTGCCGTTCTTGTTGTCGCTTAGCTTCTTCTTGTTGTCGCCTAGCTTGTTCTTCTTGTTTTTCTTGTTGTCGTCTGGCTTCTTCGTCTTGTTTTTCTTGTTGTCTTCTAGCCTCTTCTTGTTGTCGTCTAGCTTCTTCGTCTTGTTTTTCTTGTAGTCGTCTGGTTTCTTCGTCCTGTTTTTCTTGTTGTCTTCTAGCTTCTTCGTCTTGTTTTTCTTGTTGTCGTCTGGCTTCTTCGTCTTGTTTTTCTTGTAGTCGTCTAGCTTCTTCGTCTTGTTTTTCTTGTTGTCGTTTGGTCTCTTGAAGTTCCAACATTTTGCGCAGAAGTTCTTCAACTTTTTGTTCGTCCATTTTGGCTTGTTGTCTTGTGATAGGCATATACAGAATGTTCTAGAATTTCCCTCGAACTTTCTTCAAATATCTTTTCTGGTCTTTGCTCGAAGTTCCAAACACGCCGGTGAAGTCACAAATTGGATAACTTGCTTTATTCTAGAATAGAATGTTCTGGCATTTT